GGAGAAAGATTGCCTTATCCATCCGACCCTTGGAGTTCAGACCCACGAGAAGCAAGAAGGGGAGGCGTGAGTCACAATGCATGTTTCTGCATCCTGAGGGTTTTGCCTCATTTCTCCAAACACAAAACACAGCCAAAAGCCTTCTTGAGGAGGTCGGTAAACATGGCAGTGGCTGTCCCAGTCTGGATGGCTTTTCTTCTGAAATAAACAACGCTGTACAAAATAGCTGATGCTTCACGTGCTGCAGTCGCAGCGTCTTCCTCTGCAGGAGCATTGCGGTTAATGATGCACAATGTGTGATGAGGCTGTGATAACGAGTGCCCGTGGGAGGTCCCTCTGCACCTAGAGCCTTGTCAGTCTCTTTAAGGGCTTTGATTTACATCATGTACACAATGCAGACGGAAGCAGCCTGTCCTGTGCAGTGCTGATGTGCAGCACATGAGCATGACACCTTCCTCTCGCAGCACCAGACCATGGAGTTGCCTTGCAGGGGCTGCAGGTGGGTCTGAAAACTGAACTCAGCCCATTCTCGTAGAGCTGATGGGATATTTCCTTGCAGTGTCACTTCGTAGCTGTGTGATGCCCCCCAGCTGTATGGGAAGAAGAGCTGTGTGGGATGCCCTGCAGCTTTTTTCCTGCTTATCCTCTGTGCAGTGAAGCACAGCTGGAGCAGAGGATCAGAGGGGATGTCCCAAAGCCCTGCTGTCCCCATGCTGGACAATGGTGGGAGTGCAGGAGGAAAGCTGCTGGCTACCAAGTGCTGCGTGTGTGCGTGACCGGTGTGCAGGAGGCAGTGCAAATGTAGGAGCTGCAGCAGGTTGTCTTCTGCCACCAACAAGCTCTATGGGTGCCCTCTTGGTGGTGATTTCCTGGCACAGAGGGGAACTGCCCACGTCCTGCAGCACATCTCCCTGCTGCAATGTGCCCTGCCAGCTCACTGTCCCAGCACTGTGACCTTGGCTGCCAGGAGCACACCATTGGCTCCGCTTTTGTTTGGCTTCAGAGAGCACTGTCCTCTGGCTGACAGACATAAATCTGACCCAGACAGTTTAAAAAAATATACACTATCCATTTGTTGAAGTACGTCCTTCCCCAGTAATTTATCTTGCCTGCACTCTGTTTGGAATCAAATGTACACACATCTCCAGGCACACAAAGCAGCCTGGGGAAGGGTGGGGGGAGCAGGGGGTGGTTTGCTGTGTTGCATTCAGCAAACCTCCCTGATTCTCTCTCTCTTTTTTTTTTTTTCATGGAAACATGGGATAACAGGGATGGATACCTGTTGTTTTGTTTCAAAGAATCATAAAGTTGGAAAAGACTTCTCAGACCCCCAAGCCCCGCCACCTCACCCCAGTGCCACATCCCCACAGCCCTGAACACCCCCAGAGACGGTGACTCCCCCACTCCCTGGGCAGCCTGTGCCCATGCTGACCACTTTCTGGAGAATAAATTGTTCCTCACACCCCCCTGACCCCCCCTGGGCACAATGTGAGACCATCCCCTCTCATCCTATCTCTGTTTGCTGAGAGAAGAGTCCAACCCCCCACTGCCACAGCAGCCTTTAGGGAAGCTGCAGAGAGCACTAAGCTGCAGACAGCTGGGATATGGGAACGCTTTCGACTTTAGAGCCCTATTCCTGCTGTGCGCACTGTGCTGATGGGGCCAGCAGTGCTCAGTGCTGCAGGGCTCAGCCTGACACAATGCTGCCCTGACCAGGAGGGATTGCAGCTCTCAGTGGTTCTTTCTGTTTGCCAGGGCTTGTAGTGCTGGCAGCTTTGCCCTGAAGAGGCATTTGGGAGTGTGTCTGCTTCCCTCTTGGCACCACTGTTGTGCAGAGCAAGCTATGCTGCAGCAGCCATGCTCTCAGCTCCTGCAGCAAAGTGCCAGCCCTGCACAGACCTTGCACTGCTGCAATGGAGGGCTGATTGCTTCCTGTAAACCAGGGCATGCAGTGCTGGGAGGAACCAGGCTGAGGGACTGCCTGGGTAAAGGTGAATGATTGAAGCCGAAGTGCAAGCATGTGCCCATCTGCTTTGTCTTGAGCAAACTGGCAAAGCAATAATACTGTTCTTGTACAGAGAGCTGCTGCAGCACCTCTGCATTATGAAGATCAGCCATAGGTAACTGCCTGGCTGAGTTCATGCTGTTCTGCAGCGTCATAAAGCGTTGGTGGGGTGTGTTTGCTTTAATTATCACAGTGAATCTCGTGAGTGTGTTGGTTCTGGGGCTGTGCTGCTGGCTGTGACTGTCACAGAATCACTCAGCTCCCCACACCCAGCACCGTGGCAGGGATCTCTGTGCCCACCACCCACTGTCCCACTGCTGATCTGCAATGAAGGCAGGAGGAGCTGCTCAGCTGGAGGTGCAGGAGGCCCAGATGTGGGTCAGGCCTCTCTGGCAAAGTATTACCCATAACAGTTCTGCTAAGTGGGAGCGTGCAGGCTGCATTCTTTGCTCACTGCCTGCAGTGTCACTGATGCTTCCCCATACTGCTGTCAGGACATTTGAGGGCTTGAGGGCCATGTTGCACTGAGAGCTGATTGCACACACCTGATGCAGAAACAGGAAACGCTTTGCAGTCACATTTGCATAGCAAAAAAAAAAAAAAAAAAAAAAGCAAAAGTCAAAGAATCAAAGCTGTAACTTTAAAAGGGAAGAAAAACCCATAACAGCCCTTTATCCTGAGCTTTGCAAGGTGGGGCCACCGGCTCTTAAAGCTTCATTAATGCAGGAGGGAGAACTAAAGAGGTAAATCACCCGTTGTTTATCGGTGTTTGCAAACTGCAGTACCCGTGCTTGGCTGCCTGCTACCAACAGACCTCGTGTGCTGAGGGTGTGGAGCTGAATTTACACCACCTGTGCTCTGCAGGGTGATGCTGGGTGCTCATGTCACCCCCAGTGCCAAACTCCTCACTGCCAAGCAGGGAAGGAGCTCAGAGCCCACAGGGTGAGCACAGCCTCAGCAGCACTGATCGAATTCTGGTTTGAAAATGGAGGAAAATTTCGTGGTTGGCAGCCCTGCACATAGCAGGGGGGTGAAAGCCAGCCTTTTCAACCCAGGCTGTTCTATGATTCTATGAAAAGGGGCAACGTGCTCCAACGACAGGAAGGATCCTGCAGGTGTTTTGCTTGGGTTGGCGGGGATGCAGCCAGACCCTCTCTCCTTTATCTGTGAGGGGAGTGGGGCCGTTCTGGGTTTGGGATGGCAGTAGGGAACAGTGCAGCCCTTCCCATCCCTACTTGCCCCACAGCTTAGCCGGGCCGGGCCGATAGGCGCTGTGCCAGGAGCAGTAGTGCCTTTTGGCTGACCCAAGAAGAGCAAAAATGTTGAGCTTAGCACTGGAAAGGATCGGCTTGGAGGAAGCGATGGGGAACGGCCCCAAGATGAAAACAGCAGAGCGCAGCAGTGCGGCTGAGAGCCGGAGCTGTGCAGGGCTCTTCCCAAAGCACAGCGCAGTGCAGGGCTGCTGGGCAGCCCGTGCTTACCAACTGCTTTCAGGGAGGCTCAGGGCTATCTCCTGGGCTCCATCAGAAGAGGGGTGGCCAGCAGGGACAGGGAGGTGATTGTTCCCCTCTGCTCTGCTTTTGTGAGGCCCCATCTGCAGCACTGCGTCCAAGTGTGGAGCCCCCAGTAGAAAAAAGACAGGGAGCTGTTGGAGAGGGTCCAGAGGAGCCACAAAGATGATCAGGGGACTGGAGGACAGGCTGAGGGAGCTGGGCTTGTTCAGCTTGGAGAAAAGAAGGCTGCGGGATGACCTCATTGCAGCCTTCAGTACCTAAAGGGAGCCTACAGACAGGAGGGGAATCAACTCTTTGAAAGGGTCGATAACTGCAGGACGCGGGGAAACAGTTTTAAGTTGAGGGAGGGGAGATTCTTTACAGAGAGAGTGGTGAGGTGCTGTAACAGCTGCCCAGAGAGGCTGTGGATGCCCCAACCCTGGAGATGTTCAAGGCCAGGTTGGATGAGGCCCTGGGCAGCCTGGTCTAGCATTAAATGAGGAGGTTGGTGGTCCTGCATGTGGCAGGGGGGTTGGAGATTCATGATCCTTGAGGTCCCTTCCAACCCTGGCCATTCTGTGATTCTGTGATCTGCATGAACTAGGAGAGAAAAAAAAAAAAAAAAAGATAGCTAATGAAATATCCGCAGGAAATTTTGACATAATTTCCGTGACTCAGCAGGTTAATATTAGCTGTGTTACATAAGTGGAGGTCCAACAGATTGCCCTGTGGGCAGTGCAGGCCAGGTGGGTGCCGAGGGCAGGAGGTGGCTCAGGAGCTGCCCCAGTTCCGTGCCAGTTCCACGGCCCCACGCAGCTCAGGGGCACACGCAGCTGCAGAGGTTCAGCGTTTCACCTCAATCCAGCAACAGCCTCTTTGATTTTATTTTTTTCAATGGACTCAACAAATGTTTTTATTTTGGTTTTCTATTTATGTGGGGTATTTTAAGCAAAACCCACACTTCCTGTGGGAAATTCCACTTTCATCTTCTTTTGGAGTACATGAATCAAAGCACGGTGGGGAGAAATCTCCAATCAAGTCCAATTCCAGCACCCATTTCAGCCACTTGAGGCTTTCTGTGCCACTCACCAAAAGCACTTTATCAGCATCACCATCCAGACGCTCCATAAGAAGTTGATGGTCAGACTAAATTATTGCAGGCAGGGGGTTGGAGCTGGATGATCCTTGAAGTCCCTTCCAACCCAAGCCATTCTATGATTCTATGATAACAGTGCTCTTTTCCAACCTTAATGATTCTATGATAAGCTATGCCTTCATTTTGCCAGTATAGTTCTATCTCATGGTTCTTGCTCACTGATGTGCTTTAGTGTTTTGCATCACTGTAGGGCTGTGCTTTGCCTTGCAGGGGCTCTGCCTGCAGCCCCACTGCTGTTGCCATTTATCCTTATATGATTTTTACCTTCCTCTCTCATTTTTCTTTTTAAAGTTGAATAAGAAAAACAAAAACACTCAATGGGTTAACACTGTCCCTTCCCTTACAGCACGTGGTCATACCCAGGAGATGCACAGGGAGAGGTCCCACCAGGACACCCCTCATCACAGGGGTGCAGCGGTTGATTCCGGGGTCCCATGACAGCTCCAGATCCACAATGACCACAGGACCCACAGGGACAGTGGTCCTGGAGATGGCTGGTGACTGCAGACTGCTGGATTGCTCCACACCTGGATGAGATGTGTGAGGGTGCTGGGGATGCTGGTGGCTCTGGGTCTCCTCCTGAGCCCTGATCATCGCAGCCAAGGCAAGCCAAGTTGGATGGGGCCTTGGGCAACCTGAGCTGGATTTCAGCCTCCAGATTTCAGCTTCCAAAATGTGCCAAGCATGAGCCTTCTAGCAAGAGCTTCATCTGCCCAACCCATGCTGGACTAACTCATCCCAGTCCAACCCCTCTCTGCAGGAGTTTTGCCTTCATGGAAGAAGCTGGTGCCCTAGAAGTGGGCTTTGGAATGCACTTGCAGTGCCAACAGCCACAGTGACCGTCCTGCTGCTGGGCTGAGTGGGGGAGAGGGGTCTGCAATGGGTGATGGAGCCCAAGCGGTGGCCTTGGGACCTGGCTGAGTTTCCCTGCTGCCAGCTGGGGGATGGGGACATCTGGAACAGGACACATCTAGGAACAGGAGCAGGTGTTGCCTCGCTTACCCTGGGGCTTTAAAGGTCAGGCTCACCCCCAGCAAGGCACTGGGTCCTCAGTTAGCTGCCCAGCTCCGTATATAGTCAGCTAACTTACATTTGTCATCTCAAGATACAGTTTGCTGTAGAACAGAGAATATTTAGAAGGGATTTGGTAAGTAACATCTACTGCTGTACTGAAAATTCAACTCAAAGTGTTAAAATCTTAAAAGAAAAAAAAAAAAGAAAAAGAAAGGTTTGGGTAAAAATAAAAGGTCTTTGGAGAGGTTTCCTTGGCAGGATCCTTTTCTCCCTGTACATACAGTAGATTTGTTCATGTTTGTCATTATCCTTCTGAACATCAAACAGGAGCGCAGCAAAGGCTGGCTTTCGAGAGATAAACCTGGAGGAGATAATATTTCACACTACATAAAACGCACTTCGGGAATTTTCAGTTCTTCTTTGTAACGTTACGAGGGCCTTTATAAAAAGTGTCACAGCTCATGAGCTAAAAAAGAAGAAAAAAAAAAAAAGCATCAGCTTGTGGCTTTGGATGCATTCAGTGCGCGTTTGTGGTCAGAGTTTCCCAGGCTGCTGGGGGTGAGCGCCAGGTCGGCCCTCGCACCGCGCTGTTTCTGTATGAGTGATGGCAGGCAGTGAGCTGCAGCTCTGCGGCTGAAGGCTGCGTCCTGCAGGGGGGTTTGGGATGGGGATCTGCTGTGTTCAGTGAGGTGGGAGTGGGCGCTAAGCCTGGGTTTGAGGGATAGAAATAGGATTTTTCTCCTCAAACGGCGAGGTTTGGCTTCACCCTTCATTGCCACAAGGTGAGATGGGGCACGGATGGGTGGGTGGACAGATGAGGAGGTGCTGCAGAGTGCTGCCATAGGAAGGGGTGGGAGGCTCTGGTTTGGCAGTTACCATAGCAATTAACCCAAGCTCAGGGTTCCCCTGTGTGCAGCCCTGGCGGTGCCTGCATGCTCACTGCAGATGGGTTGTTGTGGTGCTGGGGTGTACTTGTGTGCTTGATCTGTGTGTAAATACAAGAAGGCAGCTATACAAGCACTGCCCTGCACTCAACCTGGCTGCTCTAAAACAAACCCACAGCACAGTGTCATTAGAGGGAGGCAGACCAGGAGGTCCAACCCTGACACACACAGGTGAGCCCGCTGCCAGCCTGCTGCTCTGACCTGTCTCATTCACTGCACCAAAAGTAGTCCTAAAACCCAAAAAAAGGGATAGATCTTTTGGTTTTCTGTATTTTCTCCCCTGGGGAGGAAACGGGTCAGGTCTGCCACAGCAGATGGGTTGCTTTCCTACTGCACATCTTTGCACGAAGGAAGATGATACCTTACACGTGAGGTGCCGCCTCAATCAATCACTGCACAACGCCTTTCCTTGTCCCCTCCATGCCCTTAGCAGTCAGACATCTGACTCTGATTGCTCTCTTTCCCACTTGATATAAGGAGTATTGTGCATGAAGGGAAGTGCACGGAGGTGAAACCCTCTGAGAAACATCACAGCCACTTCTCTTTTCCCATCAGCAGATATTGCTTCAGTTCCTATTTCCTACCATTGACTTGCATTGGCTTCAGGCCCTGTTCACCGCCTGCTTGCTAAGGATTTCTGAGCCTTGGACCATGACCTAATTTCACTATTTAAAATTAGATCTTCCATATTCCTATTGTGCTTTGTCTTTGAATGGGCATTTGTACAAAATAGTTCCATTTTCTCTGCCTGCAAGCAACACAAGATAGAGCAAGGCGCTCACACCGTGGGACCAGCAGGGCCCAGCCATGGGAACAATTCCTGCCCTCTAATCTGGAGCCCTCTGCCCACCTCCCTCCCATCAGACCCTGTGCTCCACCTCCAGCCCTTCATCTTACAGAAAAACACAACAAACACCGGTGTGTATCTCAGACTCCCTGCAAAAGCTGAGGGTTGCAGACCACCAGAAATCTGCTCAGACACTCACAGTGGCTGAGCAATGCTGGCTCTCACCATCACCGCTCCGCTGCCGTCCTGCTGCTGCCCCAGACCCTGAGACCTTTGCAGCAATTATTTTCGGTCCTGCGGAAAAGGAAATAGGAAGTAGAGCCGCTCCGCTGCGTTTTTGCACAGCGCGGGGCTGCCCCATGCTCAGACAGCTCTGCTCACCCTGCGGAGCGCTTTTGTTGCCATTTATTCACTCTGGGATGTTGCAATCAGACCAAAACGGCAGCGCAGTTACCTGAAGGTGGAAGTGGCTGAGGAAGCAGAGAGCAGACCTGGCAGTGAGGATGCACTGCTGCAGTCAGAGTGGGACACAGCTTGAGAGCTGAGCACGGCTGGGCTCCAGAGCTTGGGTTGCAACCACCCTGCTGTTCTGGAGCTCCTGATGTCTGGCTCGGAAATGTATCTAAGGAAGTTTGTGTGTTCTTGTTTGAACTGCGCTCATTCTTGGCCTTAATCCCATCTTCCCCTCCAACAGACAGACAGACTTTGTGTTTGGCTCTGCTTTCTGCTGTACAGCGGTGCTGAGGACTGCCACTGCTCAGAGTTAATAGAAGGTCTGAGCAGCTCTGGTGAGTGCCCAAAAAGGACAGGGACCAGCACTGAGTTGTGTCTGCACCAGGCACAATGCAAAATGGAGCTTCTGCTCCCCGTTATTTCCTTATTCCTACACATACAGAGGCCAATGGTGTGGAGGCCAACAAGTTCAGAGGTGCTGCACATCTCCTTCCAGCTCTGCTCATCATCTTCACCCCCTGTTTTCTTCATCAACAAGTGAGGAATGGTCTGGTGTGGTTATTCTGGAAATAATGTGTGTTCTGAGGCACTCCCCACACTGCATAGAGGCAGAGGGATTCTTTTACTTTGGCTTTCTGCATCTAGATTGTTCCATTGAGGAGGATTCTTGAGAAATTAAAGCCACTTGTGTGCATGGCTGCAGCACTAATAAGACCCAAATGTGGGCAGAGGTCCTGGGAGCTTTGCTCTTGGTGGCTTGCCTTGCCTCGGATAGCAAATTTAGGGCTTTGACATGAAATAAATTGGCAGAAAAACCACGCATAGACTGATGGTGACTCAGCTCTGCTGCTGAAGGCGTGTAGAGGGCACCGGCTGGGAGCTCTGCTGTGTGTGCAAAACATGAGAGCTGTGCTGGCAGAGCTGTGTGGGGGAGCAGGAGGAGCTGCTGCCTGACTGAAGCACCAGCAAAACTTTAGAAGAACTCAGCTCAGCTGAAGGGATGCCTGAGGAGTCAGCTGCTGGTAACAGAGATGGGAAACAGGTGGTAAATCAGTGCCTAAAGAGGGGAGAGCAAAGAGCTGCCTCAGTTGTGGTTATCTGCTCTGTTGGAGGAATGGAGCAGAGCTGTGTGAAGGTTGGTGATCTCTCCTTTGCATTTGCCGGCTGTGGGCTTGGTGGGATGATGGAAAAATGCCTGGAAGGTAATGGCAAAAATAAATTCTTGGTCTGTCTGACCCATGGGGCTGTGAGCGATGGAGATCAGGTGGTGGTGGTGGGATGCAGAGTGGGAGGGAAGGGGGAAGACTGGTTAGCCTGGATCCTCAGCATAGCCTTATGCCCTAATGATTGCAGCAAGCGTGAGGCAGAGGGCAGCAGCAAGGTGTGCTCTGGAAATGCTCTGCTGGAATGTGGTTTGGGCCAGGGGGACGTTGGCAGTGTGAGCATTTCCACTGCCACCTCCCTGAGCACCATGGGCTGCTGTCAGCTGCGGAATCACAAACAGCTACAAAGGACGCACCCTGATTTATGCATCAAATACCAGGAAAGGCTTAAATTCTGTTTGTCACTCGGCAGATGGTGACGGTTGCCCCAGCATGTGAAATATTTCATGCCTGACACCTCAATTCAGGAAACAGTGGTTTGCTCAGCAGAGGCGCGGGAGGCAGCGAGTTGTTATCGAGGGTAACATTGCCCTTTGCCTCTCTTTCTCCACTGACAGAGTTTGTTTTCTAGAGAAGTGCTGTGCCCGTGGGCACATGCAGTGGGGCACACCCCCAAACCGTGCTGGTTTTTTGGATGTTTGGTACCATAGCGAGTTCGTTTTCCTGCAGGGTCTGGCTGCTGCCTGCAGCCCTCGCTTGCTGGGTTCCTGTTCCCTGGACACCTCGTGCCTGAGGTTTGCTGAACCACAGAGAGCTCATTGCAAAACTGGGCCGTGGAAATCGCTCCTGGTGCTCTGAGCTGTGGTGCTGCAGGGCTGGAGCAAAACCTTTACACAGAAGGCAGCAGCAGGGAGGTGCTGCACCATCCCCTCACCTCCTACCTGTGTCCTGCAGGTCCAGTGCCTCAAAGCAGAACCAAGCAAGGAAGGTGGGCATCTTCCTCCTTGTTCTCACCTGGGACATCTTCCTGCCTGTCCTTACACAGGCCATGCTGTGACCAGAGCTTCCTCTTGTGCAGACAGAGGATGTGCTGCTCTCAACCTTGGAGGTGATACCTGGTTTCCCAGGGGGTTGGCAACACCGTAACCCTTCTGGAGGTTCTGCAGCTGCAGAGGTGCAGGGCTTTGCTCCATGGTGCACAGACCAATCTTTGTGCCAGGCTCTCTGCACCCCTGCAAGTGGCTCAAATCCCAGTGTTACCTCACCAGGGAGAAGGAACAGCCACCAGAAGTGCAGCACACCCCACAAACACAGCAGCCCTGGCCCACAAGGTGGGACTTGGCAGTCCTCATAACGTCTTGTCTGGGGTCAGCACTGTGATAATGGTTTGTACCAGCTCTGATTGGGCTTTTTATTCATAACTGTCCCTTATACTCACTTCTGAGTGTGCATTGAGTCGAGGGGATGTATGTGTTCTGAGTGAAGCACTGGGATTCTCTACTCTCTGAAGGCAGGGGGTAGGAGATGCGGCAGGCATGCAGCTATTTCCTGCAACAGCATCCCCATGCAAGCAGGATGTGGGAGCAGAACGCTCTTGTTCATGGAAAACAACAAAAACTTTCTCCAGAGCATTGAGCTTGCATCTCTGAAATACAGGAAATCCTTGATTTGGGTCTGAAAGAAAGTTACAGTGCAATGTATTTGTGTGGTATGGTGTCAGTGCACCAGCTTAGAGCCCTGGGGCTGCAGGTGGGATTGCAGCTGTCCTGCAGAGCCCTTCCCAGCAGAGGGAGGCTGCCTTGAGAGGTCCAAGCCTCTTAAAATCAAAGGAAATTTTAATGGTATCTTCCCCAAAACCAGCAGCTATGAAAAGACCATTTCAGTAATAAGTAGAGCTTTAATTAAGGTCACCACCAAGCTGACAGCTGCTCAGTCATAAGATGTGACTTAAAAATAGGTCCAAGAACGTACCTACTCCTCACTGTGGGTTTGCTTTCCTCTGTGGGATGGGCAGGCTGGATGAAATCAGAAGTAAGCAAAGGGACACACATGGATGGAGTAGGCATTGGTTTGCCAGGATATTTCCAGGAATAGGGGGGAAATTCTGCCACAAGGAAACAAACAGACATAGCTTTCAGTGCCAGAACTGCAGCTGCCCAGTGTCAGCTCTCTTCCCTTGTCTGCTGCTTGCTCGCATCTCCCTG